CTTCTGGGGATGTGCAATAATAATTACTGAGACTTGCTTGCATAGCATTTCAATGCAATAGACGATCAGCTATTGACTTATATAGACGGAAAACCATATACGTACATATATATGAGTATATACATATATACATATATGCATGTATGTGCGCGTGTACTTGCCCCCTTTTTAAATACGTGACCAAAATGGACGACGCGTCTAATGACAAACACAGTGCAGCATGGGTAAAAGGAAAAACACGTTCACATCCACGCGCTTATATAGCCCGCCTAGGCAAGGTATGAAAACATTTGTTTGGGATGGCCTAAAAAGAACAACAACATGCCCTTATTATGGACTGGCTGTTGTTGTTGTTGTTGTTGCTGCTGCTACAGTATCAAGTGGCATGCATATGTACATATGTATATATGTATGTAGATTTATGTATGTGTATACAGCACACTCAGATATTTGGATTGGTTCCATGGCTGTCGCCCTCTGATTGCTTACGAGCCTAAAAAGCCAAACTAATAAGTACGCGCACTTCACTCGCATCCCATAGAAGCCCTGGCCCTGCTCTGGCCATGTGTGTGTGTGTGTGTGTTCATGGGGAATGGCCTGGAAATAATAGCAAACGTGCCTCATTCGCAGCCCAAAGAGAAAATGCATAAATATTGCTTTTAATATAGAGAGAGAGAGACAGAGAGAGAGAGAGAGCGCGCAGTAGAAAAACAAAAACAGAAAAAAATGTCTCAAGTGCTCGTCCAGTTGAGGTCCATGGAAAGTGGTAGCTGAATATATTTCTGTTTATTTTGGCCCCGATCGCCACACGTCCGTCCATCCGTCCGTCCGTTGTCCGTTTCGGGCCATGTTTATTTAGTGATTTGTTGTTTTTGTCGGACTGAAAATGCGACTCATATTGTTTATTTAATTGTTAACAAGCGAACGAGCGAGCGACTCGCTGCTCGTTACAAGTAACAAATTATTACCAACAAACGGCTAAACTAAGCCCCAAAGACTTCCCAGAGACTGCTGCTCGCCCCGTATTGCATTCATTTTGCAAATCATGCAGCACAACAGCAGCAGCAACAGCAGCAGCAGCAGCAGGAGCGGCAGCAGCAGGAGAAGTCGACTCTAGAATTTATACAAAATCACGCTGCCAACAAGTCTCAACAATGTTTGCACAAGCTCTAGAGCCACACTCATGTTTACCCAAGACTTGACTGCGAAACGAGAGAGAGAGAGAGGGAAAGGGAGAGAAGATCGGGCTGGAGAGATCGCCAGTGTAGATCGCCGGATGATATGCGTGCGTGCGTGCGTGCGTGCCAAAGCGCTTGGAAATTGGTGAATGGCTGCGCTTCAATGCAGTAAGCAGGCCAGAGCCAACGGGCAACAGCATCATCAGCCATCATCATCATCATCATCAGCAGTGCAGACGTTGGCGGAAGCTGTGACCAAAGTTGGTAGCTGGACAGCCAACCAGGCCGGCAGACAAGCGACAACTACAACTTGACTGTTTTAATTAAACAAACAAGGCGCAGGCGCAGTCAGCGACAACAACAAGTAACAAACAAACAGGAGACAGCAGACGGACAGACGGACGGACGGACGGACTGTGAGACATACGAACAGGTAGCAAGTGATGTTTGCTTTAAATACAAGGTACAGTTGACACCCGTTGCATGTGCAAAGGCGATAACAGTGTTGCGAAA